GCTGCCCAGCGGCGCGGGCACCGGCGCCTGGTACGCGCTGTTCCAGAAGGAGGCGGGGAAGCTGCGCTGGCTCATCGGGAAGGAGCCGTCTGCAGGCCGGGAAAGCAGAGAAGAAAGGAAGAGAGAGGGGAAGCTCGTCAGGGCCTAGGGAGGAGAGGCTCGACCCCGCGCCGCCGAGGGCGGACTATGGAGGCAGAAGTAGCGGGAGAGCAGTGGCCGGTGGCGCAGCTTCCGCCCCTGGGACAATGTGTTTCCTACGGAACCGCCACCTGTGAAAGCAAGGCCTGGGTCCCGCACACTGGGGGCTTCCAGAAAAAAACAGTTGGGGATCCCCGCTTCCTCGGACTTCCGCCGAAGCGTCCCCAGTGCGGCGGTAGGCGAATGGTAGAGCAGGGAGGCTCTGCGCCCAAAATTAAAAACCACAGCGTGAGTGTCACCATTTCTGAGTCCCGCTGCTTGGGGCAGACACAGCTTCCTTTTCCAACCCGCAGCCTCCTCTGAAGCTCAAGATGCCTCTACTCTGAAGATGGCCACCTCCCTTAATAGCCTTTCTACAAATCTTTCAACTATTTTTCCCCCCAGGAACTAAAAAATATTTTGAACAAAAAGCGGAGATATCGTGGTCTGGTCTGGTGGCGTGCAGATGCACTGTCAACCCAAAGGCCTCTCTGTACATGTACAGCCTTAAAAACCCAGTGGAGGACCCGCTATGAGGCGGTTCCAACGCACCGAGTGAGCAATATTAAAAGGGCAGTTGTATCATTTTAACAGAAGAGACTAGAGATCTTTTAAGTTTTAATTAAACTTTCTGCATCAGATAAAATGACACCAGGAATTACAATTATTTTGGTCAGTGTCACTTGTTTCCAAAATACCTTGGACATCTTTTAAGAAAGCAGCATTCAAATTAAAGTCTTTAGTGAGGTAAGGAAAGATACTTATTTCATAAGACCTTATCTGGGATCTCCCATAGGGAAGGAATCTGCACCACATAGTGGGCAGTCGAAAATGCTTTCTTTTTAAATGAATAGGCTTCCTGCTTAAAATATTTAAGGAATAATAAAAAGACTGTTCTGTAATTAAAATGAGTATTTGTGGCTATTGTCTATGCAAGCCTTATGCAAACTGCTAGAATAATAACATAATGAGAATATCATCTCTCCCCTGACAAATGTTATATATGTAATTTTCATTAAAGCCCTCCCTTTTCACATAAAGAACTCTAAACCTGGTGAGAAAATTTACCAAATGATTCCCACCACCAAAAACTTTACCAGATAGTTATAAAGGGAGGGTGAGATGTGGACTCAGGATAGAGGGAAGACCCCTTTATGACTTCATCTCCCCAGGCTAATGTGAAGCCTTTTGGGGAGAAAAATAAAATGGGGATGTACCATGACATCCCCCCAAACCCTTAGATATGCTTGGGTACTACCTGCATTTTCATTTCTTTGCTGCTTCACTTTCTTGATTAAAAGATATTTTCTGCTTCAAGATTTCCCAAGCAATTGGAACCTAGCATAGCAACCTTCCAACAGGTTTCTAAAGCCGTAAATCTTATTTGAAGTTGTAAATTTTACAGAGAGAGAGACCTTCTTCTTGGATTTGAATCTTTTGGTTAGCAAAGCAGCATATGAAGTGAGCTGTATTAGACATCCTTCAGCAAGCTGTACTGGCAGAACTCTGGGAGTTTTCTTCTTAGGGCAATATTTTAGAAACTGAAGAAGTGCCCTCTAAATTGTCACGTGTTGATAGTTGTGTTGTGTGCCCTAGAGTGGGAACTGACTCACTGCTGACCCTCCAGCGGGTTTTCAAGGGCAGTAAATAACATGGGAAGAGAGTGCCCATTTTTCTCCCTAAATTAACAAACACAAAGATTTTACTCCCCTAGTTTGGGGAGAACATGGGAAGCCTTGGATTTCTACCATGTATTTATATATAATACAAATATGAATCTTACAGCAACCTCTAGGAATAGTTAAGTAATTTTTCTAATTTAGAGAATGGTAAATGTCAAGAACTTAAAGAGATTTATGCAAGGTCAAACTATTAGAAAGTGGTCGAATCATACAAATACAGTCTCCCAATTCCAATAGGAGTGTTTTTTCTAGGTCCTTACCCTGCTCTGGTCTTCAAGAAGAGGTCATAGTCCAGTGCCTTTTCCTCTTTAGTTTTTATTTCACCTCTTCAAATGCCTCTCTCTACACTTTTCTTACGGAGCACTGGTGTCCTAGTAGTAAGGAGCTGCACTGCCAACCCAGACATAAGGTTTGAATCCACCAGCTGCTCTGAGAGAGAAAGATGGGCAGTATTCTCCGGTGGATTTACTGCCTCTGAAAACCCATTGGAGAGTCAGCTATGGGTTGGCTCTGACTGGATGATACATAACAAACAACAATACAACCCTTCTCTGACACCCAGTATTTTTTCAGGAGCATCTCCACAGTCCTTAGTAAATGGACCCCAGGCTCCTCATACTCACCCCGCCAGGACCCGGAACTCCTTGGTGCTTTGCTGCTGGTACAGCTGGGGGAGTAGCTGCTAGGCTGGCTCAGGGCCCTGCTGAAGTGCTCATCCACCACGGAGCTGATGTCCCCCTGGAAATAGGTGAACAGAACACAGCGGGAGTTGATGTACTCTGCCTCTGGTGGCTGTTCTTTTTCTGGGCTGCCTTCCTCCTCTTTTATACTGGCCTGAGTTTGGCTAGAAAATGAAGAACTGCCGCTGCCGCTGCTGCCGGGGCTGGCGTTGCACTCGTGGGCTTCTTGCATTTTGGAGTAATAGGCTAGCTTCTGTTCAGAAAAAGAAAGAATAGAGATGTTGGTTTCAGAAAGAGATGACAAATTATATTCACATTGCAGTCCCTTGTCCTGACCTCCAAGCATCCAAGATGAGAAACTCTCATCTGTGCCTGTCCCTAAACCTTGTGTTCTCAGCATAATAAACTAGCAATAGACTGGCCCACACGGAAAGAATCTGCAGCAGAATGAATGTGGACTTCATGAGAGACAAATCAGCTTCCTTGGTGCCTCTGTTTTCCTGGAGTTGCAGTCAGGTTGAAGATCAGAAAGATCTTGAAAGACATCAAGGTGAAGAGCCCCATGTGCAGTCATGAACTCAGTTTGATGTCATAGCACTGCTAAGGGTTATATACATTTTTAAAATCAGGGGGCCCAAGTCCAATTAGGACATGAAGGTTTTGCCTGAGAAACCAGGATAAAGGGACAAGGTGCAGGATTATGTATCCCATGATGGAGCAGGAAGAATAACACTCTGTTCAACTAGGAATGCAAACGAAAAACTACCTCAGAAACTTGGAAATAATTCTATTTAGGAATGAATTGTATAGATTAAAAATGTGAAATAACATTGTGTCTGGGGATTAGTAAGTGTGAGTTGATATTTATTTGGTCACCTACAAATGGTTTAAAAGTCTTAGTTTTGTTGTTTTGTGTGTGTGTGTGTGTGTGTGTGTGTGTGTGTGTGTGTTTAATTTCCTCTTAAAGGAGAAAAAAAACCACCCAGCCCAGGGCTATTGACATTTCTACCCTTACAAACTCTGAGTACAGTGAGAAAACAAGCAGTAAAAATGAACAGAAAAAAGTCTTGGGTAAATGATGATGGCTAAGAATGACTTTAAAACCAAGCAGCTGCTGAGAACATTTTCTTTGAAACGAGCAATGGACTGAATACTGGCAGAGATAGCCACTAAATGTGACTGGGTCTTGCAAAAATGAATGAAGATCTTAGTGCAACAGATCAGACCAACTTAGTGGAGCAGAAAAGAACAAGTACACAGGCAACAAATCCATCTCTTTCTCATTTGCCATAGTCTCAGCCAGGAAAGGAACTCAAGAGTCTGGCACCCAGACACTAAAGTTAGTTAGCAATATAACCACTTCCTAAATACCATGTTCCCACTTGGCTTACAGAAAGGTACTCTGATGACCTTCACTCTGAAATAAACATCGAATCTACATAAACTCCAAAGTGAAAAGGGGAGAGGGAGGATAAACCAGCAAAACCCAACAAGTCTATCAGGAATTCATCAGGACAGACCTTCTGAATTTACAGGAAGAATTGATGAAAGCATCCACTTGGCACTGGACATTTAGGGTTTATTTCAATAGACATAAAGCAGGAGTCCAGGGGCTCTCACCAGGAGTCCAAACCTGGCTTCTGTGCCTAGGATCTTGCACTTTTCCAAGATTACATCCTCAGTTTCTGCTACCTTGCTGAGGAGTTGGAGGGCAATAGAGAATTCTACTGGATGCATCCAGGTGAAGAGAAGGCAACCCAATTAAATGAGAGTTAAAAAAGAGTTTGCAAAAGCAGCTGTTAAGAGATCTTAAAAGTGTATTCTCAGGGCTTCCCAATTCAGTGACTGTGCCTTTGTAAAGTCAGTTGCATCCCAATTATTACTTACTCCCCATAACTTTGTAAAGGAAAGAGGACAAGATCAATGTGTTCTATGGGGCGCTCTTGGAAACGAATCTGCTGCTCCTTGAATGAACTGTTGAAAGTAGTATTCTTCGGATAATTTGAAGGATAAGTACTCAGATCTGAGCAACCCGGCTGAAGAAACCTAGCCTTTGCTTTGTGCTTTGTTGTTACTTTCACCTTTAGAATCAATGTTTGCTTTGCTGTAGCTACTTGTACCTACACTGCGTTTGGAAGAATCGGGAGTTCTAACAAAGTGTAAGAAGAAAATCCAGACCACACCATCCTGATCTAATGATCTGCGAGATGACCCAGACCGATGTAAAGTAATAGGATTTAGCTACCTCTCAAGACATCACACTGGTAAGCTAATGGGTTAGCTCAGCTAACCAAGCTGGTGGCAGCACTCAGCATCCCGGACAACGCCAGCCTCCTGTGAGACGCCTGGTAGGTGGGTGTCCCGGTGTGCTAAGGCATTTAGAACCTGGGAGTCAGGGCGCTGCTCGGGGAGGCGCCACTCTCCCCGAGGTTCGGGACACATACCTGGTGGTAGGGGGTGTAGGCGGCTGCGAAGTAAGGCTGCGGAGGACCGTAGACTTGGTACATAACATCCAGACAGCTCATGGCTTCCCGCAATGGAGACGGTTAGATGTGCGATCATCCACTCTTGCTCGGCGGAGCGCCGGGATGCTGCCTGGGCTGCTCCTGGGACCGAGCTCTGGAGTCATCGGCGGTCGAGCGAGGAGCCGCGCGCTCCGCAGGATTCCCCAGGATCGGCCGCTCTCCCGCGACGCTGGGATGCCTGCCCGGACCGCACACCCGGGACCAGACGCGCTGGGGCTCCCGCTAGTGGGTATTTAAACCCCACGCTCAGCGGGCGTGCTGACGCCACTCCCGGGCCTCGGAGGGGGAGTGGACAGCGGGGGGCGGGCACCGGGGGGGCCAATGGGGAGCGAGAGACACTGGACTGCGGGAAGCGGCTGTGTTTCCCGGGACTCCCCGGCGGGTGCCGGGGACTGCGGCCTGGAGCGTGCGCTCTGAGGCTTCGCGTTGAGATTCCCAGGCTAAATTGGATTCCCCAGGCTATGCGCAAGATGGAGTGGAGTTTCTGTTTTCTGGTCCTAGTGATGCAAAAGGAGGCTCCGGAATTGCCTAGGGGATCTTTGCAGACAGCATGTCTCGCGCCTCTGGGAACTCAACCCGGGTGCGGAGGCCCTCTCCCTGCAGAAATGACATTAGGCCTGGCAACCGTGCCCGGCCCCTCCGCCTTGTACTTCTTCCAACTCATTGTGGCTCCCCAAACCTCCTTTCCGCTTTAGGGAACTTTCTTTTTTACTTTTGTACATTCAGATCCCTCTCTTTCTTTTGATTTCCTATCCGAGACCTCACCTGGAGAGAGTCCCGCCCTCCATATGCAGACTTTCCAAGTAATTCTGGAGGTCTTCCCCCTGCCAGGTTCTCCCAGCAGGGTTTCCTTAGAAGTTGTCCTTTAAAATGATGACAAAGTTTTAATTGTCGTAACAAGGACTCCTAATTCAGAGAGGAATCCTAGAAAGGTGGCGGAAAATCAGAGAGGACTTTGGGCTTCTTCCTTCAGCCAGCAAACCTTTGACGAAAAAAGAACGCACTCCACTCATGAAACCATTGTCTTCAGCGTGCGGGTGGTTGCTTCCGTCCAGAGATCCCGTAGCTCCTCGCCAAACATCTATTGAGCCAGGCAATGGTGACTGGAATAACTTTTTGTCCTAAAAGTTTAGGCGTGAATGGAGGCTGAAGGCTGTCCAAACAAAGAGGCGGTGCAGGAAGAGTCAGGGATCGGGCTCACTAAAACACCCATCTTATAGAAGAGGCAGCGTGGATTATTTACTTCAGTCCAATAAGATCTTTAACACCGACTTTCAAGCTATAAATGACGATTTGCGAATAAAATGCACCCTTCAAGATAGATCTGCTTTTAAAACGAAGAAATTTGAAGTAAAATTGTTTGAAGTTTAAATATTTGGCTTTGTCCTATTTGGTAAATCGATCCTGTCTCCAATTCAGTTAATAAATGGTAAATCCTGCTGACTGATTGGGAGCTCTCCTTACTCAACCATGATTTTTTCCGTAATGAAAAATTAAAATAAAAATACGGCTTTCCACCTCCACCCTATCATCCCGTCCAATTTCACACCATCATGTTTACGGACTTCTGCAGCTCTGGGCTCTCTAGATGCATAGGTGAAGGAGCGCATCTCTGCAGCTTGGCATTCTGCACCCGGGGAGTGTCGCAGGAGGGCAACGAATGCCTGCCTACATTTCCTTCAGAAACGCAAAAGAGAACCACCATGGAAAGCAACAATTTGGCTTTCTGAGTACGGACCTAAGTCCAGCAGCACGTCCTTAATATCGAGTAAACTCTGCCCTGTCTCATATGGAATAGGTGAGGTCACACACCCCCTACCCACCCCTCATCAAGTTGTCTCCAGTAGTGGCTTCGCACAGAGAGGTCAAGTCTGCGCTTTTCTCCTGCCCACTCCTGGCTGGGAAGTCACAGAGGTACCTGCAGAGCCGCCACGCTCCCTCAGCGCAGGCTTCTGCAGGTTCTTTTCAAGCAGTCCTTCGGATCCCTCCTCTGACACAGACGTTCTACCTGGGTTTCTAGGCCTTTCCAAGAGGAAACATCCATAGCAAACCACGCTCCATCGTTGCAGTCCGCTCCAGGGGAGCAGGCGGAACAGCGTAAAGGCAAGCTTTAAGCAGGAGTACCCATGTACTAATACTTTTCTGATCTGGTCTGGTCTTGGCTCTCCTGGCCAAGATATTGCCATCAAGTCGCAACTGACTCTTAGGTGACACCCTAGCAGCTTTATGAAGCTGTAAATTGCCAGGGTAGATATGGCCTGGATTTATCCACGGAGCCACTGGTGTATTCAAATTGCCCGTGGGATCAGTAGCACGTCTCCCTTCGGACTACGACACTAGGGGGCCCTCATCCTCCAGTTGTTGTGTATCATGGGGACCCATAGCCACCCCTCCAGTGTGTTTTTTTATGGGAGTGAATCTCATGGGAGGAGATTGCCCATCGGTTTCCTGGGAGCAGCTGGGGGATCCAAAGCGCATGCCTTTGAGGTTGCAGCTCAGTTTCTTACCACTAGGCTACCGGATCCTTGCTTTAAAAAATTTACTTCGGATATCACACTAGAAGAACTACAATTTCCCCACAAATTTAGGAGAAAATAATTACAACTCCGAATAAAAGAGGGCCTAACAAAATGTTATTTTTGAAAGGTATCACAGGACGATTTAGGTTAATGAAGATGAACTTGTGATTCTTGTTGCTAACGATACTTTCTGTTCACATTTTTAATCTTTTTGTAAAAAAAAATAATCTTGGTAAAGCGAAGAGAAAATATTGGCTGCACAGGAGCATAGAGGCCAGTGAAGAGCAATTTTTGAAAGTTGACAAGCAAGCATTCTTTGTATTTTTAATATCTCACTTAAAAACTAAATAGAGGAATTCCAGTTTGGCTTAAGGAAAAACCAAGAAAAAAAGAGGATTAAGTCGTTTAACTTTTCATAAACTGCCCTCTTGAATACAGGAGACTGCTTTGTAATTATTCACATATATTTGATTGTTCTAAATATATGAAACTTCTCCATATTTTAATATTATACAAGAATATACTTTAGCTTAAGTGGGGGGGAGGAAATCACAATTTCCTTAATTCCTTTTTCTCTTGAATTCAGATTGACATTTCTTTCCAGTTCTTATATAGAAAAATACGTATTTTTTGAAAATAAATACATTTCACAGCACAGTCATAATATGACCAGAATTTTTAAAAAATCCTTAACATACAAATATCCAAAAAGTGGTTAAAAACTTGAGCTGTGTCATATACAAAACAGGAAAAATTGGAAACTAATTTACATTCTCTTATATTTATTTGGATGCAAAGAGAAAAAAAAGAAGATGTTGCAATTATTTCTTAATGAGAAGAACTTGGTTTTCATTTCTACTTTTCTGAAAAAGCTCCTCTAATAACCCCTTTAATTTTTTATTATAGCAGAAAATGTTGTGGGGTGTTTTTTCCCCCCTAAAGACTCAGCTTCTGGAAATGTCAAATTGTCAGATCTGTGAAACTCTAAGTAGATATAAAAAAGAACAGAGATAAATCCTCCAGATTCAGAAAGTGCAAGTAGAATGACTTAAATGGTTGGCTTAGATGTTTGACAGTTTTGGTGTTGATCCCTTCCGAAATGTCTGTTTATAAACTTTGTTTCAGCAGGATGTTAAAGGGATTAAAAGGAGACCACAGCAATAATTGACAGAAGGTGAAGATACACTCTTGAGTAAGATGTTTTCTTACATTCTTCAAGAGATCTAGAAACAGTTTCTTAGAAACCCATTTGTATAAAGTTCCTCTTAGCACTTTTTTAGCACTGAATACTAGTCTGTGCATTATTTGGTCTGGCATGAATTCCTTTTGTTAATGTGACTATTTTGGAGTTGGTTATTCCCCCCTCCCCAATTGTTCAATAATAATAAGTAAATAAGGGTTGTGTTATTGTGTGCTGTCTAATTGGAACCTACACTCAATAGACCTTCTGCTGGGTCAGAGGCTGCAAATTGCAGAGGAGGAAATTGCCCATTTTTCTCTTGCTGAGCAGCTGGTGAATTATAACTGTGTGCTTTTGGGTTGGCGGTGAAACTCCTTAATCGCACAGCCACCAAAGTTCCCTAAATAAGGGTTAACTATGACTTAAAGTCGTGTCATCTGTATCATGGAGAATGTTGATGAATCTTCCTCTGATTCTGACGTCACATTCCTGTTCATAAAGTTCATCTTCTCAAAAGATTTTCTCTCCATATGGATTGAATAGGTGTGGAGAAAGCCTACAGCCATGATAGACTTTTCTTGATTTTAAACAATATAGTCTTCCCCTGCTCTGTTCAGACAACAACCTCCTGGTCTAGGTATAGAGGATGACTAAGTATTCTGTGATTCCCATTCTTCTCAATGTTAACCATAATTTGATTTGATCTACGTGATCAAATGCCTTTCTTTGCCTTGTCAATAAACTACAAATAGACACACTTCTGGCATTCTCTGCTCTCAGCCCAGATCCATCTGGCATCAGCAATGATATTCATAGTGTCAAAGCTTCATCTAATTCTAGCTTGAATTTCTGGCAATTCTCTGGTCCAACTATTTTTGAATGATCTTCAGCAGCAAGATTTGCTTGCATGTAATATTAGTGATATTGTTCAATTATTGGATCACACCACCTTTCTTGGGGATAGGCACAAATATGGATCTCTCCCATGCAGTTGCCTAAATAACTATCTTCCAAGTTCCCTGGCACAGAGTGGTGAGCACATTAAGGACTTGCCAGTTGGTATTCTATTGATTCCTGGGGCCTTGTTTTCTTGCCAATACCTTCAGTGAAGCTTAAACTTCTTCCTTCATTACTATAATTCTTGATCATACGCTACTTCTTTAAATGGTTCCGTGTCAATCAATTCATTGTGTATTGATTGATACACAATGTCTTTGTGTATTGCCTCTCTCATCTTTTGATGCTTCCTGGATCCTCTTTCTTGGATCAACACTTTTGACCACTGCAGTAAAGAAACAAAAGGTACATTGCTTTGTCGAACACCAGCTGACCATAGGTAAATGGGTTAATTTCTGGGTTTTCAATTCTGTTTTGTTAGTCTTGTACCTGTCATTGTACCGGTACTGTCCTGTTTTGGTTTAAAATCAGGGAGTACT